ATAAATATTTCCACAACCAAATAACTATGTACACTGTAAAAAAATAAACAAATTAATAAATTATATATATATATATATATATATATATATATATATATATATATATATATATATATATATATATAGTCAAGTCAAGACAACATGATTTTATGTAACTTAAACTTAACTTAATATGTTATATGTATGACATATGAAATATGTTTTTAGTTATTCAAAGTTTAAGGTAATATTTTTAGTCAGTTTGACTGATTTAAGTTGAAATGACTAGAAAACTTCACTTGATTCAACAAAAAAATGTAAGGCAGGAAGATTTTTTGTAGTGTATGTCATATACAGTACAAAGTACAATAAAAGAAAGCATTAAAATAGAATGTTTCCAACGGGTTGAACCAATTATCACACAGATATTTTGTATATTATGTCCATCTACCCTGACCCCCATCCCCAAACACAACTTTCATTTAAACATACGGAATTTCCAAACACTTAATTCTGTATTATTTAAAAGCTGTTTTTATCTATGAGGAAACAATAAATAAATAAATAAATAAATAAATAAATAAATAAATAAATAAATAAATAAATAAATAAATAAATAAATAAATAAATAAAAATGATGTCACAGTTTAACACTATTGCATTTACCCACACAACACAGATGCACACAAACACATGTACAGACACCACAGGCAGACAGACACACACAGCTGCAATTAAGTTTGAACCATAATAAAAGGGACAGGTCGCTCAAAAAATAAAGATTCTGTCATTATTTACTCACCCTTCACTTTAATTGTGTTTCTTCATAATATATAACAGGGGTGCCCAAATTTTTCCTATAAAGGGCCAAAAAACAATCTTTTTTGAGGGCTGTGGGCTGAATATACAGCAAACCGTAATGCAATAGATTTTCCAAGGGAAATTTGCTAATTTATTCAATAATATTTAAAAAAAAATGTTGCTTTAAATCTGATTAACTTACCCAGAATATTTTTTTTTTACATTTTATAATGAGGTCAGATGACAGTATTTAAATGTTAAAAGTCTGATTCATTTTACAACATTTAATTTAACCCATTTTCATTTTTAACATTTCATAATGAACTTATTACTGTAGAAGCATAAACAAATCCCATTTATAACACAATGAAGTTCATTGCTGAATACACTACTTAAGCTGCGTCTGCCTTCACCTTGATTTACTTGCAGATGACTTGTGCACTCCTCTGTCTGTCAAGTGATAGTATTTACATTTTTAAAAAGTCTGATTCATTAATAACATTTAATTATAATAATTAAATTTCTTTTTTTTGTATCTCATCAATAAAACAAAGAAACAAAAGGTTATGTTAAATTCAGAATGAAGGTCATTGTCCAAGGCATTTGCCCCAATCACATCCTCATCATTCTCCGTATCTTTTTTTAAAAAAATGGGATAGTGGGCCAAATCAAAGGTTTGGCCAACTTCGGCCGCAGGCCCTACATTTGACATCTCTAATATAACACAAAGGAAGATAATTTGAACAAAGCTGGAAACCTGTAACCATCGAGTATTTGTGAATTCTACTTTGGAAATCATTGGTTACAGGTTTCCAGCTTTCATCAAAATATCGGTAACACTTTACAATAAGGTTCATTAGTTAATGCATTTACTAACATGAACTAATCATGAACAACACTTGTACAGCATTTATTAATCATAATTGAACATTTACTAAGGCATTATTAACATCCAAACTCATGCTTCTTAACATTAGTTAATGCACCGTGAGTTAACATGAACTCAAAATGAACAACTGTATTTTCATTAACTAACGTTAACTAACATGAACAAATACTGCAGTAAATGTATTGTTCAATGTTTGTTCATGTTAGTAAATGCATTAAGTAACATTAACTAATGAACCTTATTATAAAATGACCAAAATATCCTATTTAGTGTTTAATAAAAGACTGAAACTCATAAAGTGTTATAACCACTTAAGGAGAGTAAACAACTAGTAAATTATCACTTTTTTGGTGAACTATTCTTTTGAGTCGGGTGGTTTTTCTGTCTGTCCGTCCATTCTTGGAAAGGCTGTACGTAGCTCTGCTCAGTGTTGTGCTCTTTTAAGGTCACCGCCCATATCAGAAAACGGGCCTGCACGTGTGAAATATTGCTGACATGCTGATAACAGCCACAGGGCCCCTTAAAGTGTTAAGGCGTGAGTATGTGAAGATGAAGCTGTATTTTCAGTGAAGCTTGATTAAATATTTGCCATCATAACACCCATCTCCACCCAGTGCTTTACAATGTGTCTGCTTTGCTAATCACCAGTAAATTCCTTGTGGACTATTTTTATACCAGCTAATCTATTCCTCACTGTTTGACTTTTGATCCTTTGCAATTAAGACAAATGCTTATTCACACTTTAACAACAGACTAGTTTGTCTTATAAAAAAGCACCACATCATCATTTTATTAAAACAAAAATGATAGCAATTTTGGTTTATTTATATGTCTTACTTTAATAATCAAATTTCATGTACTGTATTTGTACTTATTCCTTGTTTATGCCTTGTTTGTGAAAGAGCTCATGCACAACATAGTGCCAGAAATGGCATAAGGAGGATTTTCAGTCATTTCTCAACAACAACCACCTGACTATTAAAGCTATTTGTTAACGATTCTGGTCCTTTGGCAAAATACAATATATAAGTCTGTTCTGTGCTTTTGGCTATTTCATAATACAAAAACAAGGGTGTTGAAATATCTTAATATCTGTTGTATTCAAAGGTTGAATTTATCTAAAGCGCCATCTTGCGTCTTTCTGGATCATGACTGAATTCACTGACCTGTATATTTATTTAAAAAATGTAGCCTATTATCATGATTAATAGTAATATTATTGTAGTATTATCCGAAATTTTAGTTATGTTTTAAATTAAAATTTTTAAAGCTGATATCTATTTTGCTGTTTCATAAAAGACTTTTAATGTGGACTTTTAATGTGTACGTCTTTTGATACGCTTGCAGACTGCGCCCTCTTTCGGCTAGATGTATTTCTCCCACTAAAATGGTTTTCACACAACAGCGACACCTGTTGATATTGCCCGTTGCCAACATAAAAAATAAAAATCCACCAAACAATAATAGAAACTCGCAAAGCCTGCAAGTCCAGAAAGCGACGGAAATGTTGAAGGAATTTGAATGTAGAAAACATGCCACCTTTATTTTGTGCAAAAAAAAAAAGGCTAAATGAAAACAACAAAACTTAAAATGACTAAAGCCTACTTACACGTTTGAGTAAAATGTATATGTATTTTGAAAAATACAGATGACATTTGTCCCAAATCTCAAACAATTATATTTTTATTTAGAGCCTTTCTTAAATAAAAACAAACATTTCATTTTTAGACATGTTTATATTATTTTAGTCAACACAATGCCTAACTTCAGAAGTTTAGAAATCCATGTTTTGGATTTCTCAGATTTTTTTATGGAATATCCCTGAATTTTTAAACACAACAAATGAAAAATTCTGACACATTCTCATTTTTGAAAATAAATAAATATGGTAATACATAAAATGGTTTTACACATCTGTACATGATAAAATAAATATCAGCCCTTAGTTAAACCTATACCTCACAAATCAGGTAAATCCAAAGAAACTGCAGATTTTCAAATGCCCTTATTTATTTATTTATTTACGATAGCTGTGTATATATCTACAATGGGGTATATGCACACAGACTTTTAATTTTTAGCCAGCCAGCCCGACAGCTTCTAGTGACAAAGTTGCCACGTTTAAGGTCTGATTTCTTTAAAAAAAAAAAAGATCACTGCCTGATAGATATGCAATATAAAGTGGGCCTCAGACCAGGCAAGAAGAACTGCATTAAATAACATTTAGTGTAGAATTAGCATAAAAGGAGGGGACGGGTTCCCACCAGTATCCAAAGATTATTAAAATGTCCCCACCAATAATTTATCCAAAATAAAATTGCTCTGTCGAAATTTTCGAGTTAGGCATATAGTGCAAAACTCAGGTGAAACATGAACAGAAGCAGCTACATTTAAAAAAAAGTGTCAATCACTTGAAGTCAAGTTTGCTACAAGTCCACCATAATAGTAACCATGGATGTGCAATTAATAAAAAAAAGAAATAAATGTTTCGACTTTGGCCTCCACGACGATTATAAAAGACAACAGTTGAAATAAAATAGTTATTGTGTCATATGTCTCCCCCTTTCCTGAAGTCTGCATTCATTCCTTGTCAAAGTAAAATCATGTAAATTTACTTTTTGCACAATTAGACATGCTTGATTAAATGTTGTTTTTATTACTAATTGTTTTTTTTTTTTTTTTTTTTTTTTAACTGTGAAACAGAACATCTGCTGTTCTGTTTGCCTGCTCAGAGAAGGAAAAGAACAAGGACATGTAAAGTCCTCTTTTAGCTTAAAGTGCATAAACAGCATTATTATACATGCGAAATTGTGGTCATATGCGGTGATAAGTGGTTATGCACAAATAAGCCCACAGTAAACGAAAGTCTTTATTAAACTACCCTTTTGTCAGACATTCCTTTAACTTTACATTTTACATTTAAACTTTACACAACCTATCATCTTGTTTTATGCTTAAACAACTATTAATTAACTTAAAATAATCATTTTAATTATTAATAAAAAATTATGCTTATTTTACAGATTGTATTTTAATTACATTACGATGCCAATGCAGTAAAATAAACCTTATAAAATTTAAAATAGTCGCGATAACCTTTCAACGGAAGTTTACTGTTGGCTGAAAAACATTAGCTGTGCATATAACGTTAGCTTAGCCAATTTCATACTTGAAACTGGTCCATTTTTAGTAGGCCGCGGCTCCTTTAAGAGCGCAGGCATTCCTATCCCCGACATGACGTCAGAGCAGCAAGACGCTGGCCGAAAGTCGCGAAGGGGCAGTGCGCGTCTCACAGAGGACTGGTGTTCTAGCGCATGCTATTCTCGACTATTTAACTCAACATTTGTGTTTTTAATTCGCCCGGCGGCTCTTTCGGATAGCCGGTGACACTTCGACGACGTTTAACCTTGAAGCGAGTTCATGTAAGTCGCCTTTTTAACTCTCTGAACCCTGAATCAGTGGATTGACCCTCGACATGGATATTAGCTAGCTTAGCTAGTCACCAAGAAACCGAAATAACGGCGCGACAGAGGGTTTGTCTTACAGTTTTATCGCTTTTAAACTCGTTTATGTACCTGGAGCCTAGCTCACTGAGGCAAATATTGGCCTTGGGTGTTGCCAAAGAAAGACTAAAGTTCGGAAGAAGTAGTTAGCAGTTTTAAGTACGAGAAGAAAAGAGGTGGGAGATGTTGACTAACGCCAACAGTCCGCCGAAGTTTCCAAACCAACAGCAGCAACAACAACAGCAAAATCCACCTCAGTTCATGCTGGGAAAAGGATCGCTTCAGATCAAGAAAAATGCCATTACCGACGACTACAAGATCACTAACCAGGTGCTGGGACTGGGCATCAATGGCAGAGTGCTAGAGATCTTTTACAAGAGGAGTGGAGAGAAGCTCGCTTTAAAGGTAAGAATGAGACGTTCATCAATCTAACTTACTTTTGTACTTCGATTAAACAGGTGAGGTCAAACTAGTTCTGTGTTCATATACAGTGACTAAAACAAACTTAATAATTAATTTCTGGCGATTTAAAACCACCAGCTTTACGTTCTGACATTCATTCATTCAGCCAGTGTTTTATTTATTTATTTTAATGTGTAGTGTGTTTCAGCGTTATCCATGTAAGGGATTTAAAAGTAATCAGGTAAGCTTTCTGCAGGTGTTCTTCTAGGGTACACACAGTGATTTGGGAGTGAGTTAATCATTCATTTTAGGAGCACAATGGAAATTGGACAGCCATCTGTTTTATTAAGAACCAGGTGGCAGGTTTCTGTTCCAGCTGGCCTTTGATATTAATGACAGCATTGGTCAGAATTGCTTGGAGGACAGGGCAGAGGATGACATAAGATCATGTCTCACCTCCTTTAGGAGGAGTGTGTTTCTTTTAGACTGACGCAAATCTACTAGCAGTTACGCAAACAGGAAGGTGAGTCTTGTTTTGGTCAGGTGATAGTGGAATGGGTTTGACCGTTTGCTTGTAGTTAAGGACACTGTCATGTGATTTTTATTTTTGTGAATTATTTGAAATGTAATGTTATTTGGAATTTACCAATTACTTTTTAGAGTAATATTATATACTGACATTTGCCTGAACTCGTAAGGTATAATTCAAATGTGACTGTAGTGCTTGGGTGGACACTTAAATTGAATTAATGTTAAGATCAGTGTTTGTTTCAAGTCAAAGTGCTCACATACATGAACTGATACAAATATGTGCCAATGACAGACAGGTAATTAGTCCTGATCGAGGAATCTGCCAGATGCATAGAGATGAGTTTAACAGAATGCTAGCTGAGCAACTGATTATTTAAAAAAAAGTGTATTTTATTTCTTCTTTTTCAATGTTTTTCCAATACATAAGAGTGTGTAAACTCTGTATGCACAGTCATAATGATCCTAAATGGGAAAAAGCCACTATATATACATACTTGTACAATATTAAAATACTTTCTATTTCAATATTTTGTTTTTTTGCAGTACATTTTGCGATTAAATCGAGATTCACCAGATGAATACCTTTTTTTTTTTAATAATATTTTTAGGCTAATTAGGATAATTTTGCATAACACATTATAAGTAAATTATACACACAGATAAATACAACAGAGCAAAGACGCAAATGAAACAAACAGTGCTATTTTTCTTAATTTTTGACAAATTGGGTTGTATTCAGACACACAACTTTGCAACATATTATCTTAGCATTGTCAAACATCTCAAATTGAACAAAAAAAACCCCATACATCATAAATATATGTAATAATATATACAAAGATTGATTAATATTTATAAGATTCTGAGTTAGTTTTGGCCAGCACGTACACAGATTATTTTTCAAAACACTATATATCCACCTTAGGCTATATTCTACCACAGTAATACCATTAAGAAAAGCTAGTGAATCAATGTTTTGTTTGATAAGTAAGATTAAGTTAGTTAGATAAACGACTTGTAGCTTGTTACAGAAAGAGTGGAGGGCGGCTCCCTCACACCGCTGCTTAAAACCCAACTTGTATGATCAGAACAGGCTGAGCCGCGGTGTCACAGTTCTATGTTGCACCGAGTCTGTGACACAAGCTTGCCTCGTCCTGTTGTATTTAATGAATTATTTCACTGTAATAATAATTCATTAATAGCTTATAATAATAAGTAATAGCTTATTTATTGGTTGTTGTGAAAAAGTAAAACCGTTTATTTTTCTTCATAACAACCTGTGCCTTTTATGTTCCCTAATAATAAATCAACAACAACAAGAAACATGAGGTTTTAGGCTACAAATAATAGGTGCTACCGCATAAATAAATCTTCAGATAGGCTACTCCGCTACATGTAAGAAATAAAAAAAAACTTACAAAGGACACTTGGAAATGTAGCCTTGCAGACTGGTATCTTGTGATGGGGAGGAGCGCAGAAAAAAGGCGCTGCCTGGCCTTCCTCTTGACATCAGTGGAGACTAGTTCCATGCTGCATTTGTGTGTTGTTGACAGACGCAGGAGTATTTTATTCTGGTCCACTTTTGTAGCTTTTTTCTACATTTTTGTGAAGTTGAAGGCTTCATCTTCTATCGCTAAATCAATGAGCAAACTCTAAGCACTTCACCGGCGGTGACTCTTCCTAGGGGATGCTAAGCTTGCGCAGCTGCCTGAACGTTATATCAGACTTTGTAAAGAAACTAATCTGGCAGATATCATGTTTTGTGAAAAAGTGCATTTTGTAGTTGGCCTAAAACGTACATTCCTAAATGTTATTTATGGCAACAATTCACACATAGATCAAGATACATCTGAACAGTGATTTCCATTAATAAGATCCAAATGTCAAAAAATGGTGTTTATCGCATTTTGCAACCAAACTCTTCATATAGTGTGTGTTTACATTGCTTGTTTTTGTATTACAACTGGTTCTTTGAGCTATTAGTGTATGAAAGCTAGAGCTCCTGAGGTTGTCTTCAAATTTAGATCTATGACCTGACTGGCATACGATTGAAAATAAGTCCATTAAAAATTAGTTGTTTTTATGTCAGCGCATTTTTGACAGTTTTTCTTTTGTCGCTTTCTGTATATTTTCTGATCATGGTTATTTTCTAACCTATTTTGTCCTGTAAATTTTGTCCCATAGTTGAACCCTAACTAAATACATAGTGTACAAAAGTCTAATAATTTTTTCCTCTCAACATCATATCATGTTGAAATAAACTTGTAATAATTAAATGAAACTAATAAAATGCAGCTTCCATCTTGACAGTAGTCTTGTGTAAATTTTGTTAAATGAATTGTCTACTCCCTTTGCTGTAATTGAACTTAATGTATTTTGTATTTTATTAATGCTTCGGTACTTGGATCTGGCAGATATTGTTTAATTTAAAAGACAATCAAAAAGAGTAAGGGTAAGATCAAAGATCAAAATAATCCACTTCTGTGGTTGACATCTTCCCACTCACTCACTCACTACCGACAGCAGAAATGCAGAGGTGTTTATTCACCAAGGTAACATTTATGTAGCTGAGGTTTCCATAGAGTCATAGGGGGTTACAGTGAACTTGTAAGTTATTTTGCTGCTTCCTTAAAATTTTGCTCTGATCATATAGACAGATTTTATGAAGGGTAATGCTGTAAGATTCAGTATTTGCTTTTTTTGCTTCAGCTTGGTTGCATGGGGTGGTTATCTGTTGAAGGAAAGCCCTGTTGATCTTCCACTGATGATGTCAGCACTCTGGCTCGCTTTCTCTCATCGTCCTGGATCTCTGTGCTCTTCGGTGACGGATCTGGCTTAGCTTCACATTCATCACTGACACACGGCTTGGCTGTTTTTAGCTTCAGAGGTGCATTGCATGTCTGTGGGAGGCAGAAAAAGACTGGGGGACTGTGATGCGAGATAATGACTAATCTGCTGTGTGGAGAGTCCATTAATGATCTCTGTTAGGGACACAAATATTTCACCCATTGAAAAACAGCATTTGTGCTTTAGGGTGCCTTTGATCTGTGTGTCTGGAGGAAATATAGTCATGGGCTTCATCCACACCAAATCTTTAAAGCATCATCATACAGCTTCAGTACAGCAGGAATATTTAACAGGCGAAAGTGTTCTGTCACAATCAGCTAGACAACTGAAGTACAAAATAAACACAGTAATGAAAAATAAAACTTTATAATTAGGAGACCGTATACTAAAGGGTCACGAAACACCCAAACACATTTTTTGAGATGTTGACAGTTATATGTCCATGTTGTTAAACACTATTAGGACGCAAATATTTTGTTAACAAGTGACAATTGGTTGTTTTTGCGTTGTATAGAGCAAATTTGTTCTAGTTTAAAAAGAAATTTTGAAACCACATCACTGCAATGAGATCACGGTGTAAATTCCAGCCTCAAGATTGTGTCTGTACCGGCAGGTACAAAGTGACGTCATTGAGTTTTCAACATCTGTTCATTAATTCACGAGCAAGACTTGATTCAAACCAATCGGCGCACTATTGTGAACAAGAAGCAACTTCATTGAGAGGCATGATATAGCTTTGAAGACTCCTTTTACCTGTTACAGTGTTTAGAGAGATGCCAGGTTGTTTTGCAAACTGTAATTCAAACAAGTACATGGTTTCCGCTACGTTCATTCTTTCATGGTGGGGCGCCACAGCAAAATTCATCCCGCCACGGCTATATTACAGCTTCTTATTAATTCAAAACATTCAGTCATTGTTGTTGTTGTTTTTAATAGCGAGTTATATTCGCATCAAAAGGTAAGTGAGTTATAACAGCAAACTTCTCTGTTAGTGTATTAGGGCTGTGCGTTATTTGTTTAACACTTTAAGGTGACATGCTGACTGACTGACTGACAGGTGCGTGAGGCCAGCAAACACAATTTAGCTTTCAGGTATAATGAACACAGTTTTCTATAATTGTTCTTAATTTATAGATAAAGGTCTGTGATTCTACATACAAAGACTTTAATGTTATCTTGCTGGAGTTTATTGCTGTTTTACTTTACTTCAGGACGCATTAATGCCGCCCTGTATACTGGAGACATTTAAAAAATATTCCTAGCAAATCTAATAAATGTTGGAGACATAATCACTACATAAACAAACTAAATCACACTTTAGCAGCGTTTATTTGAGAGCGCACAATAAGAACTGTGCTTGAGCAGCGTATTTGAGAGTGTGCAAGTTTTGTGCATGAACAGAGGAAAGCGTAAGCAAAGAGATTGGCATACTCGTATTAACGTTACATAAATGCGATCCCGCGATCCCTTGTAATACTGCGCTCACCACATTTTTTTGTATACACTTGTATACAACACACAAAATAACATTTTAGGAAAATAATGTAAACAAATTATAATACAAATAATAACAAAACAAAAAAGTATAACAAATATAAATTTTAAAATAATACAACACACAGCCA